ACCATTTATTTTCAAGATCCTCATTCATTGATCATTTTTACAAAATTTCGTCCAAACCTTTAGATTGAGTGTGATCCTGCTTTGGGAGTACATTTTATTTCCAATAGATATATTCACTTGCCTTGGCCTTTATCTATTGATTGGTCTAACTGTTGCACAATTTTTCTCCCTCATGGGAATTCGAGTTTCTCATATATGGCAAAGGTAATCAGGTGGCTGATTGTTTAGACAACTTTGGTGTAAGTATTCTTGTCCTCCATATGCAGTGGCAGCTTTTGTTTATGATCTTTCGGAGCTTTTGAACTTTCGCTTCTCTTAGGAATTATTTTATGATTTTCTCATGCTCTAGTTTTGAGTTTTCCTTATTGGTTTGAGTCTGAGTCATTCTTTCTAGCTCTGCCATTTTCATTTATTAATTGTTATTCCTAAGGACTTTTTACTATGTGTTATGGTTAGGTTTCTTGTCCTCCCTAATTTATTGTACTTTTAATTTCTATTTTATCAACACAACAATGTCTTTCGATGATAACAATGCTGGAGTGAATTTGACATTATTATTTAACTTTAAAAAAACGTGAGAAAAGAATAGACAAACATAGTATTATTGAGAACACAATGAAATGTTCACGATAACAATCTAAATGACTTCCGATTTAGACTAATTTTTGTAACAATGATCTATAAAGGACCAATAAAATGAACAATTCGGATGAAACCACGAAGGATAAGCATGCTTTTACTTATTAATTTGAGATTGACTTATTAATTTGGAAAATCTCACGTCCAGATGATGCGACCGTGTTCCTTGCAAATTTTATATTATTAGATAAATATTAATTTAGTGCAGGTCAAAAATTTCCCATTAATTCATGTTATTTTTGTTGCAAATCCCATTAGTTCATGTTAATCATGGGTTTTTGGCTTGTTTCAAATAGTATGATAATTTATAGTTGATATTTTTTCTTCTTTATAAAGGACTTATTGAAATTCCTTTTGTGAGGGCTGTGTAAGTCTGTGTTTTAAGATTAAAAACAAGAAGGAAAGGCTAGATCATAGAAAAAACGAACTTGTCAACCTTTTATTGATTTCTAGGAAAACAAGAAAACAATATCTACAATTTCATTTTCCTAGAAACCAATAAAATGTCGATAAGTTCTTGCTTCGCCATCTATCTTTTCTTTCTTAAGTTTTTACTCAAAAAAAAAAAAACATACTATATGTGCAGGCCTCACAAAATAATTTCAACAACTCGTTTTGATAGAAAGGAAAGAAAATAATCAACCATAAATTCACTTCTGTTGTAAATATGGATGTGCATTGTTTAGTTTAAATGGCTGACATCATGTATGTGCAAGTAATGATATCATACCTATGTAAGCAATGATGTCATTACTTGTTCATCATTTGCCTATACAATGAAGGCCAAGATCCACAAAGTGAGAAACATACCTAAGAAAAGCAAGAAAAGAGGAAAGGAAGAGAGAAAAGAAAGAAGAGAGATGCAGAAGAAAATAGCAGTGAGCAAGGCTAGAGAGAAGAGAGAAAACAGTAAGAGTTATCTTTGTACTCCTATTATTTCAAATAATGAAAGAAAATATTGTGTCTTATTTACTTTATTTCATTACACACAAAGTTTCAAACCCAGGACATATAGCTGGAAGCCTAACACTCTAACCACTAATGTATTGGACCATATGCAAAAAATTCTTTTTTTTTTTTTAGTTTATTAATATTAAAGGGAGGGGGGATTCGAATTTATTATAATAATTTAAAAGAGAGAAGACTAAATTTGGAGACAAAATTTGCAAACTAAATAATATATCACCAATAAAAATAAGCACGTTTATCAACACTTAAATAATAAATCAATTATTAAATTTTATATTTTTTAATTTCTAAAATTTTGTCTACAAATGCGTTATGCCTTAAATAAACTTTACTGTACTTTGCACCCTCCAGTCGCGGATTGACTAATGACCAATACTATGTCAGGTAGACGCTTTCTTGTGCCTCACCTGGAAACAAATTAAGAGCAGGGACACATTTTCCCCCAACCCAAAATATTTCACCACGCGTTTTAATCCCTTCCATATATATTCCTACGGAAGGCCAACCTTCTATATTAGCAGTTCCTTAATTTCTTGGATCCGTCGCCTGCTTTGATTTTCTTTGCTACTGTAGGATCTGCTCAACTATTTTAGTTAATACTATATGCCGCTACTTGGGAGGAAGCATATTTTGCAACTCTTTTTAGTAATGGTGGTGGAAGTTACAATTTTACTAGGAACTCCAAGTCCAACAACAGCTAAATCTCTCCTTCCGCCTCAGCTGGCACGGCCTGGCTGCCCTGACCATTGTGGCAATCTCACAATTCCATACCCATTTGGCATAGGCGATGGTTGCTACCTCCGACGCCGGTTTAACATCACTTGTAACTATTCCACTCAACCGCCAACAGCATTTTTGTTGACGACCAATATCGCCATTACCAACATATCTCTTTATGACGGTGAGCTCCAAATACTACAGTTCGCATCCTATGATTGTTATGATGCTCAAGGCAACTCTATCAGATCGAACAGGCCCGAGCTCTGGGTGTCTCCTCCTTACACCATCTCCCAAACCAAAAACGTGTTCGTTGCAGTTGGATGCGACACATATGCGTTTTTTATAGGTTACCAGGGTGAAGAACAGTACACAACTGGGTGTATGTCCATATGTGACAATCCTGGCAACGCTATCGATCAGCGGGATACTTGCTCTGGCGTTGGATGTTGCCAAACTAAAATCCCCGGTGGGCTGAAAAATCAGACTGTGACCTTGGGAAGCTTTTACAATTATACGAAAGTGCGAGACATCAACCGATGCAGCTACGCGTTCCTTGTGCAAGAAAGCGAGTTCAACTTTAACAGCACGAGTTTTCGAGAACTAAACGATAAAACCGAGCTTCCGGCAATTATTGATTGGGTGATTGGGAATGAGTCATGTGATATTGCAGCTAAAAACGAGAGCACTTTTGCATGCAAGGCAAATAGCTACTGCCATAATCGGTCTTCAGGGGGCTACATATGCCGGTGCCGGTCAGGTTACGAAGGGAACCCATACCTCCCAGATGGTTGCCAAGGTAAATAAATCTAGACACCATTTGACCATTGGATTTTTATCATAAACAATTTTGCGTTCATCAAAACATATTGCATGTATATGTGTATGTATGTAATGTAATGTATGTATGTATGTAGGTCTACTTTTTTTTATTATGGTTAAACAAATAAATTTTTAATTTGCTTGACTTTTTTGCGTATATGATTTTATTGTTAGGCTCATTGGGGTTGCGTCGAGGGATTCAGCACACTTCTGATCCCTTTATATCTTATTATATGTTGCATAGTACTAGTAAAAAAAAAAAACAGCATTAGTCAGCAAATAATTGCCACTTTTGTTGGGGTGACTATAATATTAGTACAGAAAAATTGTTCATGGTAATAGAAAAAGATGCACTATGCAGTAGTTTTCTTTTAGGAAAAAAATAAAAAATAAAAAGATCAGTTGGTGGCTTCATCTCGGCAATCTACCTTTTTGAGGACGAGAAAGACTCGCAAATGTATTTTAACCTCTTCCTAACCACTATTGTGTCCAGGAATCGAACTCAAGACATGATATGTGAAATACAAGCTTAAAATTCGTTTCCAACCACCGATCCATCCCATGGTGATTGCACTATGTAGTAATAAGCTATAAAAGAATATTTTATGTTACGGTGGTTTTAGAACATTAAAATAAGAATAAATTAGGATTTCATTCCTCCTTTTTTTCTCATTAATTGAAACTTTTTTTTTTCATTTTTGATCAAGATCTTTTGACTTTTGTCCATGTCACTTTTTGAATATTAAATTATTTACATGTCATCAAATGTCAATTTTAAAAATGAAAAACTTATGAACCATTTCCAAAATATCTTTTTAGTATTTTTCATACATTTTTATTTATAATTTGTATCCGTTTTTTAAATTTGTACCAATATTCTTTTTAGTTTTAATGTATACCCATAATTTTAAATTTTAATATATACCATATTTTTTTTATTTAATATGGACCCATATTTTTTTTATTTAATAAGGACCCATATTTCTTTTGGTGAATGTACCCATGCTAATTACATGTATTTATTTTATGTTTTAAAATAAAGGTAAATATCAGTTTACTACTCTCATATTTTGTGGTTTTCAACATTTAGTACATCAAGTTATTTTCGTTCCAGAGTCAACAAAAAGTCTCAAAAGTGGGATTTAATTTTTACCTATTGTTCATGGATTTAATTCATTTTTTTCTGTTCAGATATTGATGAGTGCAAGGCTCCAAACTCCTGCAGTATGGGAACCTGCATAAATACAGCGGGAAATTATACTTGTAAATGTCCGAAGGGGTTCAAAAATGACGATCTGGATAAAAAAAGTTGCATCAAGGACAACGGTCGAGCAAAGCTCAGTCTCCCGCTTATTATTTCACTAGGTATGCATATGTTAGTTTTATTTTACTTTTTCTTTAGGCGCGTGTTTTTGCATATACAATTAGAGCTGATTCGGGTCGGGATCCCGTACCAAAACTTCCAAACCAAAATATTTCGGGATGGGATTTATATCCCAAACCAAACTGAAACTGTTCATTTCCCGAAATTTGGGATTCCCAAAACTGTTTCGGGATTTTCGGGTCACCTCGGGATTGGGCCTTGAAGCCCAAAATGTTGGGCTTTTAAACATTTTACAATTTTAAGCTCTTTAAACAGTAAGCCCACCCATTTTTCAGGAAAAAAAAAAGTTAACAATTGCAGGTTTACAGTCCACCTGTTTCACAATCACATAAATTCAATTCAATCAAAGTTCACCACAATCTTATCTCATAATTTCAATTTTCATACCAATCAAGCAACAACTAACAAGTTAAGCTTAAGTTCACAATTGTCTACCAAACTAGTTAATTAAAAGTGCATGCAACCAAAATGAAATAAGTTAAGTTTTATAAACCAAACTTCCGAATGAATTCAGATTAAGTTACAAACCAAAAACAAATCATAGTTTATAAGCAAAAAAGTACAGGCAACCAAAATGAAGCTTAAGTAAGTTCATTCCTTTCGCCCCAATTCATTCCCAAGTCTCTCCAGCTCGTCATACGGGATTGGACGCCTGGTTACCAAGAAGATAAATAAAAGGTATAGAGTCGGTCCATCTAATTCACTGCAAGTTTACGAAATATATTACGTAATTAAGAAAGTTATGCATACGGGGGAGCTCGAAATGGTTTTTCTCGTCCTCCAAAACGAAGTTGTCCAGATTCCTTCTTACCACAGAAACCACCTCCTGGTAAAACAATAAAATCACATGAACTAGACCTCTATAGGCATATGCAAACTGAAGGTAGAAGAATACGAAAACTTAACTAACCTAATCTTCTTGGAATCCACCCTGGCATCAACTGCTGTCTGTTGTAATCAACAATAACTAATCTAAGCACATCATAGACACGTTACGACTTATGCAGATCATAATTTGACATTGTCACCTATTTTCTTTTCCTTGGCTTGCCTCGTCTATCCACATTTAAGACATTAAGCATACCATTACGAAATATATTATCCAACCACCTACAATTGATATGCACATGTCTTTTCTCACAAAACTAGCAAGCACAGCCAAATCAATTTAATTTTGTGAGAGAAGGACGTGTCTATGAGAACAAACACCAATACCATTATAAGCGAAATCCATCAACAGTACAAGAATGTAAAATTAGAATTCCCCGCCACAAAGACATGCATATACATATATGAAAATAAATGAAGAGATTCCATATCGAATAAACTAGAGAGTGGCTAAAAAGTTGAAGCACCTTATATGCACGCTGCACCTTATATGAAAATAAATGCATATACAAATTCGTGCACCCACCCACCCTAATCTTAATCTGAATGAACCCACTAACTTGTGCACCCACCCTCCCAAAGGCATGCAGGTCCTACGCTGCACCCACCCTAATTCGAAACCCACAGTTGTCAAACCCTCACACATTCGACAAAATACTCAAAAATCAAGTTAATCAACATGAAATTTGACCCTAAACACTAAAGAACAAAAACCCAGTGAAAATCGGAAACCCTTACCTGGATTTTGGGACTCGTTTGGTCTCGGATCGCGTCTTGCGTCTCTCTGTGTGGCCGACTGGATGAGCGCCGTTGAAGTGGACGGAGAACGGGAGGAGCGGCGTGGCTCTAATCGATGGAGGAGCGAGCAGCGGGAGCACGAGCAGCATTTGGGAGATTGAGTGAGAGTGAGCGACTGAGAGAGCTTGTGACGATAACAAATGACCTAACTCATTGGACGGTTGGATTAGATCTTAACCAATTCAACGATCCAAGTAATTTCTAATTATAAATTAAAAATAAATATTTATAATATTCGGTTCAATTCGGGATTACCGAACGCTTTCAAAGCTATGGCCGAATCCCAAACCGACACTTTCGGGGACGGGTTCGATTTCGGGTACCGAATTTTTTGGAAAATTCAGTTCGGACAAATTTCAGGACGGATTTGGGACAATTCGGGATTTTCAAGAAAAAAATCCACCCCTATAAGCAATGGATATTGGTGGAGGGAAAAGTTGAACTCGGGTCTTGTGTGCGAACTTAGTTACAAATCTCTTGCTTGGATTGTTAGTTTATTATTTATATGTCACATCATACAGTCCTAGTCTAAAATTCTAAACTTGCTAATTTTTCTTTGAACAATGTAATCAAATTTTGTTTACTCGACCCACTTTTAGATCCAAAACTTTTAAACATATATCAGAAGTTGTCACATCTCAGTTCGAGCTCGACTTTACCGTAGCATGATATTGTCCGTTTTGGGCTCTGATCACGCCCTTACGGTTTTGTTTCTAGGAACTTACACGAGAACTTCCTAGCGGATCATCCATCCTGGAAATACTCTTGTCAGAAATCGCTTAACTTTGGAGTTCCGATGGAACCCGAAACCAGTGAGCTCCCAAAAGGCATCGTGCTAGGTAGAGATGAGAATATACATATAAGGCTTATAGGATCCACTTCCCTGTACGTGTAGGATGTCACAAAAGTGCTCTCTAGAAAACAGATTTTTAAATCAATATTGTCAAGAATGTAACAATCGAAATTGGTACGTACACTTTATTATTGACATGATATTAAAACGGATGTCGGCACATTGTCAATAACAAATATATGAAGAGTCTGTCTTGCCCAAAGAATGACTAATACTTACATATATGTGGCTTAGAAAGATCCATGCATGTACAAAATGATTAAATATTCTCATTGTGTAGCATATGTCATTTTTTGTTACAAAATATCACTTTGTTCTTAAAACAAGAAAAGCACTAGCCAGACGACAAAAACAAGATGAATACATTGATGATTTGCTCTGTATAATTTCTTGTAATTCATGTAAGGGATATTTTGGATGTGGTTCTTAATCCTTAACAAATAACATTATTTGATTAAAATCTTAATAGTATTTAAAGTTTAATCAAAGTCCCTTGACTTTGTACACCTTATTATATTACTATTAATATTAATATTTTTATAGTTTTGACATTAATTGTTTGATATTTTATGAGATTTATAATCCTATAAATTTAAAATCCCTCATTATAATACTATTAGAAACGGTTACAATAAAAAAATTCAAACATTTTGATTGAATAAATGGATAAAAACTATGCAAAAATAATAAATAATAAATGGCAAAAGAATGTATCCATAGTGTTAAAAAAATTGGTTCATTTCACATATAACAAAGTGGTACATTAATAAAGAAGAATTGGTACATTATAAATAAATTATGGTACAGATAAAGAGTTAAAATATTATGACTACAAATGAATTTTTTTTAAAATATAGGCGCTAAAAGAAATTAATACATGGGTACAAAATAAAACTAAAAAGAAAATACTACAAATTAAAAAAAATTGTTGCAAATTAAAAGTGGGTACAAACTAAGAACATAAATATAAGATACAAAGTTTAGGCATAAAACATAAATATACCGTATGTAATTTTTCTATCATTGATTAAATATACAATGTCACGTGACGGTATACACATGGGTACAAACACAATTTAAAAAATATGGGCACAAAAAGAAACTAATATATGGGTACAAATTAAAAATGAAAAGAAAATTGGTACAAATTAAAAAATATTTACAAATTAAAAATAGGTACAAACTAAAAATACAAATATATGATAAAAAAAATTTAGTCATAAATATAAATATACTAATTGTAACATTTTTAACACTAAAGGAATATAGTTTAAAAATAAAAATATTTTATTATTCAAATAATTAATGATGTTATTAATACCCAAGGATTTTCAAAAATTGAAAATGAATAGGATTTTAATCAATGGAGTAACAAAAAGAAGGATGTGAACGTAATTTTTCCTTCATGTAATCATCTTTGCAGGTGCCATTGGAGCCTTCTTGCTTTTACTAAGTGGATCTTCATGGATATATTGGGGAATGCAGAGAATAAAGTACCTCAAACTCAAAGAAAAATACTTTAAAGAAAATGGTGGCTTATTGTTACAACAGCAAATCGATAGTCAACGAGGTTCCGTGGAGACAACAAAAATTTTCACGGTAGAGGAACTTGAGAAGGCAACAAACAATTACCATGAAAGTAGAATCCTTGGTCAAGGCGGCTATGGAATTGTTTACAAAGGAATATTAGCAGCAGATAACAATAAAGAGGTTGCCATAAAAAAGTCTAAAATTGGTGTCCCAACCCAAAAGGAGCAGTTTGTCAATGAGTTGATTGTTCTCTCTCAAATCAACCATAGAAATGTGGTGAGGTTATTGGGTTGTTGTTTGGAGTCAGAAGTTCCTCTACTAGTTTACGAGTTTGTCCCTCACGGCACTCTCTTTGAGCACATTCATGACAAAAAGAGGAAAGGATCATCATTTTCATTGGAATTACGACTCAAGATAGCAGCTGAAGCTGCTGGAGCACTAGCATACTTACACTCCTCAGCTCTGATGCAAATCATACATCGAGATGTGAAAACGGCAAATATACTGTTAGATGAAAATTACACTGCAAAAGTGTCAGACTTTGGAGCTTCACGATTGAATCCTCTTGATCAAGCCCAACTTGCAACTTTAGTGCAGGGAACATTCGGATACTTAGACCCTGAATACTTCCTCACGAATCAACTAACGGATAAGAGTGACGTCTTTAGCTTTGGAGTAGTCCTTATGGAGCTACTAACAAGCAAACGGGCACTTGCTTTTGACAGGCCTGAGGCAGAGAGAAACCTAGCCAGCTTCTTTGTTTGTTTAATGAAGGAGGATCGCCTGAATGAAATTCTCGATGATGACATACTCAACGAGAGAAACATCGAGACACTAAAAACAGTGGCCAATCTGGCAAAAAGATGTGTAAGGTTAAAAGGGGAGGACAGGCCAACAATGAAAGAAGTTGCCATGGAGCTGGAAGGGATGAGAATTACAGAAAAGCATGCATGGGGAAAAGCTGAAATTTTTTCAGAAGAGACTGAATGCTTACTTGGGCCAGTTAACTCAGATGCTTATCCTGTGGATGTTAGAGCTGATTGTGGTCCTAGTACTGGTACAGCTATTGGGTATGACAGCATGCAGATCCAGTTTACTCCATATGATGATGGACGATAATTCGCTGCTTCAAATAATCAACTCAACAATGTTTATCATTCTAGCCATAGTGAAGGATGTACAAACATCAAGCAGAAGCCGTTGCCAGTTAGAAATGACTCAACATCTACATAAAACTTTCTACAGTATAAGTATGTTTCATCATAGTCGTCAGTGTGGCCACATTGGACAGAGCAGATGTGCTTTCGCTGTACACTCGAGTTTGAATTTTTCTTTTGCTGTAGTTTAGATTTAGTTGAAAGTAAAATATCGCTTGTATAAAATAAAATCTCTTTTTCATCATTTTGAAAAAGTTTTTATTTAGGGCATGTATCAGAGCATTTGGCGGTAGAGATCACAACCTTGCACGTAAGAAGTGGCCCAACACCAAAAACTATATCTAATTTCTTCTTCAAAATAAGTAGAGTTTGGAAGATCCTGAGTTATATGTGCATTGGCATCCCGTACTCAATTAGTGTGTATGGTAATTAATTGTTAATATGTTAGTGAAAAATATTTCATAAATAAAGTTGTAGAAAGAAAAAAAAAAAAAAAAATCCCCTTATATCAACTACTAGGGTCGGTAAAAGTGGTTTTTTCTTCCTTTGAACGGCTTTTTAAATGTTATTTTATTATCTGTACCAAAGTATTTCAAGGGAAATGGTGGCTGCTTGTTAAAACGACTCGCTAGACAACAACAATCTTTACAGCAGGACTTGAGAAGGCCAGAGACAACTACCATGAGAGCAGAAGAACTTAATGCAGTGGTTGCCATAGAAAAATCGAAAATCGGAGCTTCAACCCAAGTGTGGTGAAGCTATTGGGTTGCTGTTTAGAGACACCGGTGCCATTACTAGTTTATGAGTTCGTCACCGGGGGAACTCTTTGATCATCTTCATAGCATAAAGAGCAAAGAATCATCGCTTTCATGGGAGTTACGACCGAAGATCGCAGCAGAAACTGCCGGAGCACTGGCGTACTTGCACTCCACCTCCATGCCAATCATACACCAAGATGTGAATGTAATTAGCAGAAAGTTACTCAGGCGCACAAGAAATGAAATACATTCCAAACACAACATATTCAAAATCCAGGCAGATTGACATTTCTCGGATGGAATTCAAAAACGGGTTTTAACACGAAAATGGTGTCTACAATATATGAGATTTCAAGGTTACAAATCTCAGGAAAAGCAAGTAATCTACCAACTCACTCTAATTTGTTTATTTTCAAAAGTCACAAGAATCGCCTAGACCAAAACGCTCAACCTGTTCATTACAGCGAAATCATGATCACCTTGAAATAAAATTTGAAATAGAAATACAAGAGAAGCACACAACCTAATCAAATTGCGTTCTTTTAACATAGAAACCCTGCTCAAGGAGAAGAGAAAACTAACATAACCGTTGTCGGATTTTAAGGTTGGAAAAATTGCTCCCACTTGAGCAGCAGGAGATCATCTTATCTGGGTAGGAGAACAGAGCAAACCAGATGCATCTGATCCAACCACTGAAAGATCACAAACAGTACAGAGCTTCCCTTCCTGGTCCGGAACAAACCGAGAACTGCAGTATGGGCATGACACATCCTTCTGTCCACGGTAAATAGGCACATATGTTGCCCC